TGACACGAGAAAGACTACGGCAGGAGTAAGGGCAGAACTTGCAATTGTACATGCCCTCATATCGTGGCCTTGTCGTGGGTTGCAACTCAACCAGTTCGTTTTTTGGGGAAGAGGAGTTATTCTTGTTGCCTACATCCTCCCGGAAGGCTGCTTTGGCCAGCACTGTTGAGGATATCAAAGAAACGAGACAAGGGTAGTATGAGTCTAAGACAACAAAGTCCAATGCCAAGGTGCAAACATTAGACAATCTTGACAACCCTGCACTTCCTTCAGTAGAAAGTAGTGCATACAAAACAAGTGGTTTGACTCCTGTTGATATAAGAAAGAAAACTCAGCAAAGAACAATTGAAGTATTAAGAGGGGTGTTATTAAGGTCATGTGATATCAAACTTCAAGTTAATAAAATATTGATGAGCATTGCCAATTCATGCAGCAACTTTTTATGTGTACTTTATCTTTCATTGAAGCAGCACATCTCACATCCTAATAGCCATAAGCAAACAATAAGCGAACCTCATTTGTGGGCTTTGGAATTGCTATGCCATATAAGGCTGCAGTATGTGCTACGGTACTGTGGAGGTTCCATGTAGTGACGTCCGATTTTTGTAATAACGTTCTACAAAATGTCACTTTAAATCTATGAAAAATCACACACTTGTCGAGTATGCAGGCACTGCTTCCAGTGAATGCAATTAACAAAACAAATTGCTGACATCTTGTAGCCTGAGGCACCTGGCAAGAGCATGCATTGCAAGACAACTGCATCACACTTGTTTTGTTTTGCACAAATAGAATGGCGGTGAATGCGATCAGGTAGATTGAGTGCTTGTCCTCATCTAAATAACTGAGATCCATTTTATGCTAGGAGAAACTCATTTCGATGATGCCGGACTGGTATAAAAACACTGCACAGAAAATGCATGATCCCAAAAGGTGAGTTGGCCAGTGGGAAGAAGCCTCTCGGCAAAGCAACAATGGGCCATTTGCCAGATCTTGCATGGGTTGCCAGCGTCGACCTGCGAGGTTGAGAAGAGAATAAATTGCAAATATATGGTCGCTCCTGTGAGGCAAGCATTTGACCACTTTTTAAAACCCCAAACATGGCACACTCACATTAACGCCAAAGGCATATGGTAGCAAAAAAAAGTAATAACAGGGGTGCCCACAAAAAAGAGTCGCAAGTAAAACAAACAGGACCTGGGTTCATATGGCCTGACTCTGTACCTCTCATGGCACTGACGGTACATATGCTAAAATTATTTAGAGCGCAGCTCTTAGGCGCAGCACCCGTTTCCGAGTTAAGCGGCGTCGTTGTCGGCGTAACCGCACATTGTATTATGGGACGCTTCCCATAATTATGTACACGTGCCATCACGAGGGTAAAATTTCCTGGCTAAATTTAAGGGAAAAATTTTCTCACTAAATTTAGTGAGACAACTTCCCCGCTAAATATAGCAGAAAAACTTCGCCGCTAAATTTAGCGGAAAGAATTCCCGGCTTCATTTACCTGAAAAATTCCCTGCTAAATTTAGAGAAAAAATTTTCCCAGCTAAATTTAGCAGAAACATTTTCCCGCACCATTAGCGTAAAAAAAGTGAAAGCCATTTACAATTCCCTGTAACGCCGAATTAGAGCGCAGCTCTTGAGGAGGAGGAGGGAAGGGTACTGGGGGGGGGGGGGGTCAACTGACCGGAGGGGGGGGGGGTCACGTGACGATGACAATGCCGATGATGTCATCAGTGCCGATGACAATGCGGATACCGATGACGTCATTAGTGACGTCATGATAATGTCACCAGTGATGACAATGATGATGCGGATGTCGGTAACGTCATCAGTGACGTCATCAGTGATGATGACGATGACGATGCGGATGCCGGTGACGACATCAGGGACATCACTGATGACGTCATCAGTGGTGATGATGATGCGGCTGTCGGTGACGTCATCAGTGATGATGACGATGACGATGCGGATGCCGGTGACGTCATCAGTGACGTCACTGATGATGTTATCAGTGATGATGACGATGACAATGCGGATGCCAGTGACGTCATCAGGGACGATGACGTCATCAGTGATGATGACGATGACGATGCGGATGCCGGTGATGTCATCAGTGACGATGACGTCATCGGGGGTCACGTGACCTCGGGGGGTCACATGACCTTGGGGGTCAGGTGACCTTGGGGTAACCTTGGTGACGGCGACGCCGCTCAAGCCGGAAACGGGCGCCTAAGAGCTGCGCTCTAAAAGTGAAAGCCGTTTACAACTCCCTGTAACGCCGAATTGGAGCGCAGCTCTTGAGGAGGAGGAGGGAAGGGTACTGAAGGGAAGGTAGACCCCTCCTCCTCCCCTCATTCTTTAATATGCTCCGGGGGGGTCACCTGACCTCGGAAGGGAGGGGGTCACGTGACCTCGGGGGAAGGGGTTGGAGGGGGGTCACGTGACCTTGAAGGGGTCACGTGACCTGGGGACGTGACCTTGGGGGGTCACGTGGGGGCACCTTGGTGTCACGTGACCTTGAGAGGGGCCACATGACCTCGGGGGTCACATGGCCTTGTTGGGTCACGTGACCTTGGGAGGGGACACGTGACCTGGGGGTGACCTTGGTTACGCCGCAGACTCAATGGATGGCCGTTTCTGGCTCCGAAGTTGAGGGGATGAACAATGCTCATATTTCCCGAATTTTCGGCGACTGCCATTGCCTAGAAAAAAATAGCAAAGCCAAGTTCAAGCAGTTATTAACGTTGGGGAGTGATCCTGAGAAGTATTTAGTGATGTATAGAAATAATTTCTATAGCTCCTTTAAGCAAAGTACAGAGGGAGTCGAAACTTGGGCAATAATTTGAGAATGACGCTCGTGTGACTTACAGCGACTGCCAACGATCGGCTGTCTCTCTGACGTCACTAAAATATCCTCTTTTTTTTAGTATTCCTTCCGTACACACGTGTGGTTCTATGTAACGTCATAGTAATAAGTCGCATTTAGTAATTTCAGTACTTCTATTCTCAGGGACATCTTTCGGATGTAGTTCAGCAACAACGAAAAAACATTTGGGTGCCTCAATAGTATAAAATGGGTCTTGCAACATTTTTTCTTCTATTTTCAATAAATAGAGTTAAGAAATAACCCCTAACGTTGATAGCTCGTCGAAACATTTATTAGCTTTCCCCTAACAGCAGATGCAGAAAAAAATAAAAGAAAGAGACAGCTGTCGATATCTCCTCAACTCGCAATTTAAACAAGCGGCCACGTGATCTGATACCGCCAGTGTTCATCACAGTCATGCCCTAGGTGGCTAGGCTTTGGAAAGCAAAAGCTTGGGCTGAGCTTCAGATATTGTTAGAGTTGGGCTATTATCATATGTGATTGACATGAGCCGTTACCCGAATGTTTGGCGGTGCTGATTGTCATGAACCCGAACACTCGACCAGGGGTTATGAAAATCGCTTACGTCACGGTGTCACGTGACTCTCGGTGCGAAATCGTGATGTCATGTGACGCCATGCTGTCAACAATGTTAATACATCTAGTGACTTCCTCAAATTAAATCGAGTTGACGCAGTGAGTCACGTGATGTCACGAGGTCATGTATTGACACCATGACGTTACGTGACAACGTGACACATGGTTAATCATAGTGCCATGAAAACCCACAACTTACCATACTTTTCAATTCAGTATATGACGATTTGATCCGTAGATAGAAACACACTGCAGCCGCCAATTTTTTATACCCATATGCTCATTTTGTGATACTAACAAAAAAGAAAAACAAAATTACCTTGAACCGTTTTGAACCGGTTACCGTTATATTTTTTTCGGTTAGGTTCCGGTTCAGTTCCAAGGTGGCGGCGAAGATTTCGGCTCGGTTCAGTTCCGGTTCGGCTAAAAATAACGGTTCTGTTCCGGTTTTCGGTTCGGTTCGGTTCCGGTTCGACACCCTGATTGTAACCCAAAACTAAAACAAAATATTTTTTTTTTTTTTTTTTTTTTTTTTTTTTTTTACAGTGGCAGTCAGCGTTTTGCTTTCTGTCATTGTCTTGTTTATCCTCGACGCCGTCCATTCTCGGGTGCCTGAATGTCTTTCTATTTACGGTGATGTCACCCTTTGTAGTAGAACCCGATGCCGACAGCACGCGCTCACGGGTAAAATACAAAGAAATTGACGAAAACGAAATGTCGCCAAAGCACAGTCAGCGCCACAAACACGTGCAGGGACACGCTCTTTCACTCGATTCTGAACAAAAAAGAAAAGTAAACGTGTGGGACCAAATGGCCAGATGTCTCCACCCCGCCGTGCTCCACCCTAAGCAAAGCGCACACGAAGGCACCCTAGTCCGTCCTTGTTGTTTCTCTTCCACTGCAAAAAAAAAAAAAGAAAGAAAACTTTTTTTTTTTTTTTTTTCTGTTTAGTCTCGGGTTAAAATTATCATGGTAAACGTCCACCAGCTCGCCAGCGCACTGACCGTAATTACCCCAAGGCAGCTTGCTTTGAGGCGACGTTGCTTCGAGGTCTCCCACTGTCCTTCGAATAGAGCTCCATTCGGACATCACCACCACCCCTGCAAAATAAGCAGACGAACTTGCGCTCCGCAAAGACTTCGTACCTCTGTGTTGGTGTTCAGTTAGCTGAGTGTTTGACGTCGTCTTTTCTATTTTTTGTTCTTCCTACGTTTTGATGTTTCTCTTATGGGAGCCTGACGTTTTTCCTTATTTACCTTTGTGTCGTTATGCACCCTATGTTCGCAAGAAAATTGCAACACGCGTTTGGCGCATTCCCCGAAAACGAAAGTGGAACTATCCTAACACAAATGCCTAATACATATAATTTCTGCTTCATCTAACAAAAAACTTTTACTTCGTATCAACTAGGTTTTTTTGTTAATTTTTTGCGCTTTTAGGAATAAAAATTTAATTGACGTTCGAACAAAAATAACATCGATTTGAACTCTTCGGAAGAAACGAAAAGAAGACAATCCAATCAAAAGAAGACAATCCAATCCGGGTTCCTGATTGGTGACTGTCAACTTCGTTTGATTGCGGTGTATGTCGTGAATGCTCGTGGATGGATTTGAACGTTATTGAGGCTTTCTTTAAGTGCAATGTAGAACGTCGCTACCACAGATCAACGTGATCGAACGTACTCCTTCAATGCGCTTCAGAACCAGGGACATGCGCCCGTCTCCAACGCACACTTGCGGTAGATCGGCGCCATATGAACCCTTCGTGAGTTGTAGCGCGTTCACTTCAGAGTTAGCAACGAGCAGCTTGTGCACTGTGTGTATCTCCTGAGATTTTCGACAGTCGTACTCCCACCGAGGGCATCGTAGCGCCTACAAAGGTGAAATGAGGAAGTGCTGCGTCTTGACGTGTGGCGCCTGTCAATCCGACGGTGTGTCGCTCTTCAGCTTTCCCAAGAACCCTAGACTGAGGAGTAAATGGGTTCGCATGGTCAACAGGGATCACTCTAGTATCTCCTCTTCCACCGTGGTGTGTTCTAGACATTTCCCAGAACATCTTGTGGGGACGAAGGCCAAGCCGCGACTGACAAGGGGCTCATTTCCGACGCTGCAGCTCCAAGAAGCGTCGACCGCGAGTACCGGAGGAAAACGACTGCGCAGTCGTGCCGGTGAGTGACCTTTGGTGATCGCGACTTGTCGGTTTAAAGGGACACCGACAGGGTATTTATACTTGCCGCGGTTTTTAGTTGTACGTGACATATGAGAGCCCAACTACCCAGAACAGAATTTGCGGCTCGAAATTCGGTTTCTTTCCGCCCGAGTCGCGCTCACTCTCTTTTCCGTGGTAAAGGGCCGTTTTCTAAGGTTTAGACGCGACCACCAAATTTAATCAAAGTCGTGGGTCATTGAAGGCACGCAGTCAGTACTAAAAATGGAAAAAAAAAAGAAACCTATTTTTTGTGGCTTTCTAAAAGCTGTAAATACGTTGGTTGAAAAAAAAAAAAGTTGCACAGACAATTGGAAGCATTCTGGGCTTTCACTGCAGAATTCTCAACATGACGTCGCTTCGCATATCGTGGTTCTCACGGATGACGACGGGCGTGGGACCTCTACTTCAGAATTGTCGTTCACGGTACCGGCGAATTCTGTCTTCCTTAGAAAGAGAAATTTTGGACCGTTCAAAAGAATTCTTATTGATCTCGTACGACACGCCCTACCAGCAAGCCGATTACATGAAGACATCGTCGAGCCGTCATCCCTTTTCGTGGCTGAAGACATTGCTCACTCAAACATCAAGTACGAAGTGCATACTTCGAGTTGAATACGCAAGCGTACGGTTTCTTTACTAGGTGCTAATGTGGCGAATGCAAGGTGCTGCTTGACTTCAAGCTGGGAGTGCATGTGCTGGAGGGAAATCGGCAGCAAACTCCCCGACATACAGTCGACCGGCCGCATTACTACGTACGAAAGAGTTCCTTCAGTAGCTCAGGGGAAAGACGTCCGCTTCACATGCGGCGGGTACAAATTCAATCCCTAATGGGTGTACCATTTTTTTTTCAGGCATTTTGCCATCTTTAGATTTCTTCTTTTTTTTTTTACAATTTTCACTGAAAAAAACAATTGTTGTGGACAATAAATACGTCGCTGAACTAAATGGTATGGGATTCCATTTTTGACACCTCTCCCACACAATGCCACTTTCAGATGCAGGACATGTGAGGCAGCTCTTCACGCAACATCTTGGGAGTAATCTTTTCGGAGCCGATCACGGGAATTCAACACGGGCACTCACTACTAATTGCCAACACTTCAATGTACAAAACAACTCAACTTGAAGTAAGAACAGCCAGCGGAACAAACATAAGTGCAAAGGAATTGCACGGCGAATGGATCCCGCAACGCGTTTTGTCTGCTGCGCGCAAAATAAAAAAAATAAAAAAAATAAATAGCATGGTTGGGTGTAGTTACATGACTTCCGCCACTCACTCTCTCCTCTCCACCTCTCCATGTGGTGCGGGGGTTTCGGATTTGGTTTCGAGCAGTTGCGTTTTTTGGCTTTATTAAAAAAATATGTGACTCTGTAGCAAAATATTAATTGGGTAGTATTTCGACACCGTAATAAATCGCCTGGCAAAAAACAAAAAAAAAAAATTTTGGGGGGTGTCAGTGCCTATTTAACTGATACGATTCCAAGACTTTGTTTCACATGAGAACACACCGTTGCCGATGTTAGAAGCTAGTGGGGCCATTGAAGCAGCAACAAAAGCGTCTTGCACGTGACGTTATATTGCACCGCACCAGCCGCCATTGGTCCGTGATATGCACGTGTGAGCGTGCCAAGGGCACCAAACTTGTCTAGAGTGCCCAAGAGCGGTGCGCTGCGGACTCCGCATGAGACATCTGCCCGCGGACGCTGGACCCGAGATAGTGCTCCTCTGAGCGTGCACTGCCATTGTACAGCGCGGGGCAGAAGATACTATGGAGTTAGGAAGCTTTTTGAGGCGACATGACGCCACCAAAGGTGAAGCCGGGGGAGACTTCCGGTTGCTGTAGCGAAACAAAGAAAGGAGGAAACAGCACACAAATTAAAGGGCGCACTCTCTCCCCAAACCGTCGACTGCATCAGTGCAGAAGGTTGTCCCCAAGTATATTTTCTTGCAAATTTTTTGAAGATCTTCGGCTATTCCCAGTGTCACTTGTGCGACAACATTTACTTCGAGCGATGCAGAAAATAAACGTTGCTTATGCTTTACGGCTCTTTCAAGGAATTAGCAACTCATTTTAGGCACTTGAAGGCAAAGCTGGTGTTTTTTTTAATGTATTGGGCTTCTGCACCAGGCATTAAGTTACCCAGATTTTACTCTCAAGCAGCGGCAGAGTTTAGACTTCCTGGCTTCAAAACAATGAAGCATAAAACAGCTGTACCTCAGAGTCCAATTGCCTATAGACCTTTGAAAAAGGGCCTTTTTGGCCGCCATCATCTTGCGATTCGAGCGACCCCTATCAGTCAGAAATTTCTGCCACCCGCCCGAGCTGCAGAAACCCGGTCATCGCAACCCCCCACCTGCATTATGCATTCGGAGGTCGCCGACTTTTCTTGAAAGTTTTGACTTTATTTGCCTGTTCAAGATGCTTACCCTTTTTGTGTTATCTTCCAGTGTGAGAATCAGGGAATTCCAGGGCTCGTAGCGTGCTCGGCCTTCGCAGGAAATGAACGTAGAGAGCAAACGTCAAGCAGCCCATGACACAGGCCATTCGACGTTCTTCAAGAATTATTTCCGTTAAGATAGTCTCCGAAAAGCCTTCCCGGCTATGTTCCCGGCCTTCGGGAAAAAAATAGCTGATGGGATTCGGTTCGGGGGTATGGGGACGAAATATACACAGTCTTTCATTTGCTTTGGTTCTGTGCAGAAGGGCAGCTTTCCTCAAAACGTGCCCCAAAACAAGCCGAATTCCGTCCGTTCGTCATAAAGTAACTATGGTTGACACTGTATATTGGAGTTGCTGTGTTATTTGAAACCTTTCTCAAATTGTGTTTGGATAACGCGGTACCCTGGGTGGAATACATATAATATGTGTTGTTTGACCTATAAAAAGGAAGTATTTTAAGTTAAAGGCAATAAAAAGAAATTGTGGCACTAAAGAATATCATCAGCTGGTGGCTACAGCAAATTCCACTCATAAAAGGATTGCCCAGCATGTTTCCTTACTTTGAGTCCCCATTCGTAAAACAAGGATCATGTCAGAAGTGTGTATGATGGCACAGAGTTAAAACACAGGCTGCCTTCTTTTTTCTTTTCCCTTTTCATTTTTCTTTGGTGGTGGGGGGGGTACAGGTTACCAGGGAGCTGTGAGACGCACTTGGGTTCCCGAAGTGCTGCGCGAGGCTCGCCAGCTACGGTTCGGCCATTCCTGATATTATCTACGATTGAGAGTGGGCCACCACGATATTCCTCTGCTTTTAGAAAGCTAATGAATGAAAACACTGGAGAATACTCACAATGCATTTGGGCCAATGTTGAGCTAAAAGTATGGCTCCTTGCCTATTGCAAACATGCAACAAGAAGCTCTCATGTCAGTTTCCTTTGTATTCTCTGTTACAGTGTCTCACAATGCTCCTGCTATTTCAGCCTGTGGGGCCTTTTCTTCTGAAGGTGTTGATGGTCTGTCCTCTTCGCCTGACCATCTACATGTTGAAGAAGCAACCATCACTGTGGTGAAGCAAGGCAAGCTCCTTTTGCAGCACAACTCTCGTTGCTCTGTAGAGTGCGCAACCCGTGGTAGCGAACAAGCTGGACACTGAAACAGAGAAAAGATCAGAAAAGTCTTAAGCTATCAGAAAATATGTCTAAAACAAGAGTCTAACAAGCCGTTGGACATAGCAGTTCCTCCATGTGATGGAGTACAGGTTGGTTTTGTTGTTCGTGGCTTTCAGAGCTGAAATAGAATGATATGGCTTCATCCTCGGACCACTCTGCTGCCATCTGAGTCCTAAAAGTCGATAAAGGATTCACCAGAATTGCCAAGCTTGCACGCATACACCAGTCTCATCTATGACTGTCGGCTACGCCGACGCGCCGTTGCTCAACTGAAAACTTGCCGCAGTGGAGAAAAATAAACAAACTCACAGAAATCCAAACTGTAGTCTTCAAACTATTTTTTTAGACGGAGGAGCGAGCCTGGGAGCTCAGCAGGAGATTTGAAATGGACCTCCGTGCCCTTCGATTATGGGCGATTGATACACTATGGGCACAGTTAGAAATAGTTAAAGGCAAGCTGAAACACTTCTTGAAAAAAATGATTTCGAGGTGAACTCTGGCATATTTTATGCCGTGAATCCGAATATCACTTTTGTTTTCCCCAAAGATGCAACTAAACACGAGAAAATACGAAAAACCAACGACCAGTCGTGATGTCATACTAGACACTTTGGGTCACCAAGCGCATGTCGCTCGTGTGGGCAGCGTGTGCAATAGCAAGTTTACCAGTTATATTTTTTCGCACTGACACCAGTCATGGCGTCTCTTTCTGACCTTTTTGAAAATAGCAGGAGTGCGTGTGCATAGCTTTGACAGGTGCCGAAAATGCGCGAGAGCAGAGATTTCGAAAGCTCCTGGTATGTCGTCCCGCCCCGGGAAGGGGAGGGGCTTCAGCGGTACTTTAAAAATTAATTTCTGCAGCCTTTGTGCATCAAATTGAAAAATAATCCAGATATTCGTGATTCCAGAGGCCAACTGAAGACAATTTAGGTGTTTTTCCTTGAATAATGAACCACTTTGGTTTCTCTCTAAGGATAATATTGCAAACTTTTAAGGCATCCGTCAGGCAGGTCACATTATCTTTGCACGTCGGAATCACTCATATGAGCGCGTCACATGCCACTCGTCTCTTTATGCGCAACCATTCAAGCACAAACAATAATCGACTGGAATAACCTCCCAGCACGCATAGCCACGTAAGATGATGTAACAAATTATTATGAACTTATGCGCGATGATAATGTCTAGCTTGTCAACCTTGTACCAGAGCACATCTTGTTTGTTATATCATGTGGATACCTACGCATATGACCTTTTGCCAAAGGTACTTAAATACTAGATGCATGCGATCGGTTGAGAGTAACGATGGATGTAACCACTTTGTCAGTCAAATGTGACTCTGCTTTGTACTGGACTCGGTGCAATATTCCTTTGCTGTCTTTCCCAACAGAGCCCGAGGAGATGCTTGATACTCCAACCATAGAAAGCTTGTGTTCTGAGGACTACAGTGGAGTGTCTACTACTCCACTGCACTTGGAGGGAGAGGAAGACAGAGCTTGTGCAGTGAAAGAAGGTGAGCTCTTTGGATTGTCGCCATGTGGCTTCAAGAACGTTTTTTTGTTTGAACCAAATGTGAGCAGAAGTGATGTTTTCCTCTTTTTAGGAAGCTAGACGTATTGGACGAAACAATAACCACATATTGCTGCTTATAAGGGAACAATTTTGGACATAGAAACTATTGTGGAATTGGCAAAGAAGGAAAGCTCACTTTCAATCTTCATAATTCTTCATTTTGTATGCATCTTCTTCTTTTTACCATGTGCTCAAAATAATTTTGCATGTGCTATACGCAAAGGTTTCTCCTAGATCTGATCTCGCAAATACTGCGAAACATTCCGTCACACCAAGAAATAGATACAGATTGAAAATGTTTCGGGGCTACGGGGTAAATACGCAGCATGCACCGACGTCACCACGGTGGCCATTGTGGTGACCTTGCTAGCGATAGCGAGTGCGTACCGTCTACAGCATAAGCTTCCGAACTGGGAGGGGGGGGGGAGGGGGGGGTTCGTAACCGGAACCAAAGCATATCCACCCTCGACAAGGTTGAAGCAGTCACAATATCAGGGACACCTTGGCTTGTTACGAGTTCAGCCGGCTCTACCAGGAGCATATAAGCATTCTTTGTGCTCGTTTCACAATTTTAGTTTTTTGAAGGAGTATAATGATTATGGTGGTCACAAGTTGTTCGATTGAGTCGTGATCGTGTGACCGTGCTGGAGAGCAGACAATGTTTCTCTGTATTGGCATGTCTCAACCAGGCAGTTTAGGTTTTCGATACTTGTGAATGGCCATCCTTCGTCCGATTGCAATCAACATCTGCGCTGCTGGATGCAAGTTCGGCCTGTCGGAAAAAGTGGAGCACCAGTGGCGTTCGCAACGGCACGAGATCTCTTGGCTGCGACGGCAAACGAAGAGGCTTCCGTGGGCCAGAATTTTGATAAATGTGGATGCTTTCCGGAGTCGGAGGTCGAGCTTGCAACTTATCAGTGGTGGAACTGCTGCGCAATTTGCGCCAAACTGCGCCAGAACGAATAACCTGCTACATGCTGCTCCAAAGGCTCTATTTTTGCACAATTATTGCGCCATGTTTGTGCCAAAAGGGGGCTGTTCTCGAAATGGAAACAAAATGTCTGGCACATGGCATTCTTGGGGGTGCCACTATAAATTAAGAAAGTAGTTTTTTTTTGTTTTTTTTTTCGGGTGCCTAAGTATCATGTGCAAAGAGTAGGGCTGCACGAATATACAAATTATCAAATGCTAGTTTCAAATAATACGCTATTTGATATTTGCTTCAAGATTAACTGCAATATCCATTCTTTTCGAAATGTTTGTTTATCGCGGCGGGTTAGCCTCCTTGAGTGCGCTTCTCCTCAAGCACCAATGCACTGTGGAGAAGCAATACCCGCGGAGCTGACGATGCGATCTCGCTACTTGCTTCGCCGCAGCGCAGCCGTGCGCTTAGGCGAAAAGCACACCTCCAAAGTGGTATAACGCACGCTCACGCCTAGTGTAATAGAAAAAAGAAAATATTGTTATTGTTGATATTTACATTGCAGTAAAATCTTCGAAATTTAACTGCGGCTATTATCCAAGGGCATATTTTAAGCAGCAATGTTTTAACAATTAACTTGTGTTCATTATTTGTGCTTGTTTTGTTTTAATTCAGGAATGAAGAACATTTTTTCCATATAGCCAAAAGATTTATAAATCCCCTCAATTAGGTGTGGCTGGACTCCCTTATCGGTTTAATTTCAGGTCAAATCTGTCCTTTACCTGTCATCCTATTGTAGGCGTTGGACTGTCTGAGGCTATAGTCAATAAATATAGCCAGATTATATTTAACAGAGCTCTTAAGTGGACAGTTAGAGGCTTGGGAACAAGCTTTGCGAGTTCAGCTGAATTTTTAGTTTAAGCATGGTGTAACAGTACTGAAAAGCATGGAGAAAGGCGCAGGAAGTATTAAATATTCGATTAAAATATATTCGGCTAAAACCACTATTCACTTTCAATGTGCTTTGAACCATATAGATACTATTTTGACATGCCTAACGAAGAGTTCTCGGTTTTTGTGCGAACATGCTTACATAGGTCGCAATGAATAGGTAGTGCTACTCGTGATCGGTTAGAGTAGAGCCACTAAATGAGCTGCGCTTAGGGCTCGGCACTTTGTTCCGCGACATTGTTGCGGGCGCCACCATTTTGGTGCTTGTGCAGAGCAGACGCAACTGCCAATCGTCATGATTCAAAAGTGCGACTTCCTCCGAATAATATTCGGTGTTAGGAAGCTCGTGTAATATTGCTTTGCTTTGTCGCGAACGGTTTAAACATTGATAAAAGCCGGAAAAGCGTTTCTTGTGGTTTCAGATAACTGGCAACCATGATTTTAAGCCACAATATGGCCAAGTGTTGTTACTCTGAAGCATAGATTATTTAGTGGCACAAGGTTAGAGTAGCTACGTGCTGCGGTTAGCTGCTCTATGAACAGTAGCAGGTTGAAGACGAGTGAGGGGGCAGCGTGAGACACATTTAACACAAAAGTGTCCGTTTGACGTTGAACTCGCGATAATTACCTCACCGCGATACAAACCCTACAAAATAGTCAAAAACATATTTTTTACATCAAACACAAACCGAAGAAGACATCGGTACTTCTAATAGGTTATTCAGACATCTGAAAAATGATCGGCATGAGATTGTTCAATAAATCAATAAATATATGGAGTGGCCAGGTACCCCGTAGGTACGATACCTTTAATAGCCTTCCAACACTACAACAACTGCAGTTTTTTTTTCACAAATTAACTTTTAAAGAGACCATATAAAAGTTTCTGACATGATAGCTCAAAATTGTCTGCTACGAAAGTGGGAATCTCTGCTCCTAAACCCGTGGTTTTCTGCTACAAGAGCTGCTCTAAATCACTACGTATCAGTTCCACCACTGCTTATGTCACAGAAGTGCGCGATAATCCCTACCCATGACACACGATGCAATCACAGAGCTAGCGCGAAAGATGCGGTTCGTGTGGTCGTTTGCGAATTGCGAGATATCCTTGGGTGAAGCCGACGACGTGTTTTGAGAATGTAGCAGTGATGACGACGGGAAGGACAGCCCCAGCACGCATAAAAGACATAGAAGAACGACAGGGAGAAGTTTCGGTTGTCTCGCATCCAACGTGGGCTTCTTAAATTGAACAATGCTTTGGCATCTCGTGGGCGCATGGGCAACTAAAGCACGCCGGAACGTGTTGAGTGCGCGGTATAGGCTAGGCGTTTTTAAAGAGGCGCCCTGCAATTCTCCCAAGTTCGCCATACAGTAGTCCCCTAAGCTATAAATTGTTTTCATTTTGCTGACACGCAATGTGAGGGGCTAGACTTACAATCGAGTTGACTTACAATCGGGAAAATATAGTAACTAATTTTTGGCCATTGTTTTCCTTCGTTAACGGGCCCTGGAAATTAGTGGTTGATTTACACTCAGCATTACTTAGTACAAGAAACTAAATGTTGACAAGTAATTTTTGTTTTCAGGATAAACAGCTGTTTACTGAGTCCATAAGGCCTGTTCATGCACTTGCATTTGCTCAGGACTGAGTTCTCGTGATCTCTTACGTCTAGAGAACACATTGCACGCTGGAGGCGTCTGTCAGGTGACCCTGGAACTGCATTTTACTAAAGCGAAAGTTTTACATTCTGTCTGCGAAAAATTGTAGTTTGTAACATAGTCACAAGGTCTTCGAGCCAGGAAGGAAGGTATAATGCCCGTAAAAGATGGAAAATATACAAAAACTAAAAAGGGTTCCACAGCTGTCCGAGAGATGGCATTAGTGTGTTTTCTCGTCAAAACAGATTTAAGGGGTTTCAAGTCACGCTGTCATAGCCAGTTTCAGGTGCATGAACTGGTCTTCACTTCACACATAGATATCGAACAATATTTGTTTTGCATTTCCTTCAACAGAGGTGGACTCCGTGTCTGCCGCTTCAACCTGCGGGGATGGCTACCTTGAAGGCGCCGTCTGCCTCCACTTTTCCGCCGAATGCCCGGTAGAAGTTGAGACAGCTTCTCTCAGGGTGAAGGAAGGCAAGTCCTCACAGACGCATTTTGAAAAACAGCCGAATTAAAACGTTAGATTGAGCAAGTTAGTTCATGACTTTGATGGTATTAAAAAGCACAAAAAAAGACAGGCAGAGAGCACCCATCTGTGTTGTCTGTATCTTTTTCGTCCTTTTTATTAGTGTGCGAATACTCAAATATACAAATACAAATCAAATAGTAAGTTCCCAAATTATTCGATTCGTGAATCAAATTCCTAGCATTCGGTCGCTTTAGTATTCAGTATATTCGGGGAAAGATGCGCAGTTGGCACGGAGTTGACAAAAAAGCTGTTTTTTCTCCCGATGTTAGTGCAGTGACGTTGGGACAGACCATGTGAGAAACCCCTCATGGTTCTACCATTCCACAAAAAAAAACCAAGCGCACAAACTAGAAAAAAAAAAAAAGAATTGGACGCCACAAATTTTATAGCACGCAAATTTAATTGTGATCGTGGCACAATCTAATCTTGAATCACATCCCAAACATCCCATTTGCGCTGCTTGCAGGTATGAATTGTTGAGAAGCCGCAATTGCACGCCATGCCAATTTTTATGTTTTCGCAAATAAACCTTCTTGTTTTAAATTAAAGCATCAATGTAGGACACACTTGGCATACTCACAGAAATCGGCGACTGGAAGATCACCCATAGAAAACTACATTAAGCATGCGGACCCCAGGCGAAAATCAGTCCACTTCCAGCTGGATTGTGGAACTGGAAATGAGGGAGCGCAATTGTTATTTTGCTTAGAATCGTTACTTGTTTTTGCACACCTGCTGTGGAACACCGGCCTGGGCTTGGGTCTGGGCCCTTGCATCCCGCTGGTGAAGTCTCGTATGGATGGTGGGGAAAACGGGGAAAAGATGTAGTTTCGGTTTCAGTAGTGAACAAAATATAACTTTTGTTAAGGGGCATGTTTACTTCTGAACCGCTCGCTCGTTCGGCGTGAAATTTACAGGTGGTTTTTGTAGCCATATAAAATGAGGGCATGCAAAGTTTCAGCCCTGTAGACCACTTTTATAAGGTTGTATACTCCTCCCCCTCCCCCCAAACGAAGTAAAAGGTAGCTTTGCATGGTATTTACTCAATGAATGTATCGTTGAGAAACGGTGTTCACCACATATTTTTCTGGTGGAATGCATACTGGAATACTTGTTGCCGGTTACTATGAAAAGAAATTTCTGAAATTTGCATTTTTCAGGTTAAAAATTTATGAAATATATATATATATATATATTTTTTTACATTTGCCAAGTTTTGAATATTATAATTATTCATAATAAAGGAACATGAAAATTCAAAATCTAAGTTCATAGTAACCGGCTCGATAAAATTTTAATAATAATAATGATATCTTTATTTCCATCGATCTTGATGGGGGAGCTCGAGGAAAAAAGCTGCGATATGCAGCTTGGCTGGTCCTCGGTCCCCTTACAGTGGTCAACGGCAGGCATCGAGAAACGAGGATGAAAATCACATCCAGTAGCAGCTGAAGGCATTGTTAACAGGAAAAGAAAACAAAGCAAACAACGTTTTATGAAAATAATGCATCATGTACAAAAATATCCATGCAAGTCTTTGAAAGTCAAGTTTTCAAGGGAAACATTACTACTACAAAAAGTATTTAACAAATTTGGAAGAGTAAATTGGAGCATCTGAGACCATAGTTCGTTCGCTGAGTAACCATCTTCCACTTCTCCGCGTGACGAGTAGAATACACTGGTGAATTTTCCTCCAGCAATGCAAGTTTTTTTAAGAAAGATTTTGGCATATAATCCGCAAATATTAAGTCTCTCGGTAGTTTCATACTGAAACAATAGTTTTATTAAGTGGGATTTGCTGTCAAAAAGTGAAGCCGAGATAAATGCACTTGAAGTTTCAAGATGACGTTTTAAAAGTTTATTTTTGCGTCTTAAATGTTAGAAATTCTTTCCAGCAGTGTAGGTGATGTCTACCTCAAACTTCTGATATACTGACATTGCTTTCAGCTATTTTTGCTTCTGGAGGATGAGTGCTGCGTAGTGGAGCGCACCTCACCAACATATAAAGAATAATTATCTTTGACATTGTTTGTCAGTGCACATTGACGACACTTTGTGAGAGTGTTCCTGATTATTCATACATACTAAAACTCAGCAGTTCTGAATATGCATTTTTTGGAAAAAAAAGGTGCAATTCAAGGTAGTGTCCCCCCTTAATTCACTAGAGTGGATCAGGGGGAACAAGATAGCATTTCAGAATCAGGAAGCCACCCGCATTCAGGTGATGCCTTTGGATTCAGTAGCTTAAAAATATGTGGAGTACCCCTTTAACCAAGGAAACAAGCTGCCATGTCGTGCCCTCTCTGTTTCACTAAGCTAGATTGCAGCCAATGGCTGCTAACTGTCATTCTCCCTGTTGCAGTGGAAAGTGCCCCCATAGGGTATGTCTGCTATTGCGAGTAAAAGGAGTGAAGGTGCTCGATAAAGATTAAATCATTCCTTGTTTTCAATCATGTTTTTGTGAAATATAATGGACAGGTATCTCGTGCTTCTTTGTAAACAGAACCAGATGAGTTTGCTCCCGCCCTTGGGATGGAAGGCGAGGGCAAGACCTCTGAGGCTTTTGACTCCGTGTCATTTTTGCCAGTGCTGCTGGAGGGACAGCGGAGGGACGGTTCCCTTCATGTGATTGAAGGCAAGCTCTTCTGACTTGCTTATTCTTGTAGGAAGTTCCAATGCCATCAATAAGAAGCCTAGATTGATTCGTTGTCTTCCCTTTCGTGGCGTGACGTATCGGCACGATAGAAACATTGTTTTCTCATTTGCTGATGAAATCCAAGATCTAATGGCGTGGAAGTTTTTGAATGCATCATGATATTTATGCTTGAATAACTAATTTACTAAGTTTGACCCTCTGTACCCTGAGTGTGACTACAGTATTCGAGAACCGGTCATTCTCAAAAAGGATGCTGCATGGGCATCCCGTTCTCTCGAGAGACGATTGATGGCAGAAATACAGAAATTTAGGTATTCTTGTGAGCATCAAGGTTGTCTCGTTGAGAAAATGTAATTTATTTTCCTTTCACTCTGTCTAAAGTTGTGTGAACAGACGCACGCCTCCTTTCGACTTTGGTTGTCGGCAACAGTGGCGTGTCATTCTTCCCAGCAGTGCCGGACGAGATACTGCCCACTCCAACGGGCGGAGCTTTCCGTTCAGAGGACTGTAACAGAGTGTATTGCCCTCAGCCGGACCGGGAAGGACACAACAAGAGCTGCGTCGTGAAGCAAGGCAAGCTCAACTGCACATAACCTTGTCATCATCAACATAACCTCGTTATTGTAATCAACTGTAGCGAGTAAAATCTACTTTGTTCCCGTGGTTCGAAGAAAAGCCCAAAAGCAGGGAACACGAGTGCTTAGGCCTGGTACTTGTTTTGAGCGTAGTTTTTAGCGTAGTTATTCAGAGTCAGCCTGCTTCGTCTTTAGAGCTTCAAGTCTGATACTCAGTGCCGATTTGTTAGAATGCTGGTCTTCTCTTTTTGTACCAGGTCAGAAGGCTGTTGTATTCTGTCGAGTACACTTATTGCAATCCCACATACTCACACCTCCACCTCGTTGCTCGCCTTCTCTCGGCAGAAACGGGAAGCACTCTAAAGAGGGTGCCCCGGTGGTTCTGCTCAGTGGGCATGGTGGAACCGCTCGCAATCATTGCTCGCGAACAGTCATTTCTGGTTGCATGCAACAGTCTTGACTGTCCCAATGTAGTTCTGTCGCCGACATTGTATTGTACTTTACTACAGTATAGACCACTTACAACGTAACCGCTTATAGTGCAGGACCGGGTATAACGCGGTTTTTTTAAACCACCGGTTCGCCTCCCATAGAACTCCATGTAATTACATACCGCTTAAAACGCAGGCGCGCGAAGGGAAATACCGGTTATAGTGCGGTTTCTGGCACAGCCCGCCGACCGCGCCGACGACCGGAGCAGCGAGCACGCTTCCCTGTGCGACACTAGATAACTGCGCTGACGGCGCGAGCCGCAAGCGTTGCGCAAGCGGCACTCGCGGGGCAAGGAGGTTGCTCGAAGAAGCGGGAGAAGTGAAGAGAGAGGAGAGAGGTTTCAGTTGCCCTAGCGACGGAGGGACGCACGCACGTGTCGTTCACGTGCGTGCGTCCCTCCGCTGCGTTAGAAACCAACAGCCGCAACGACAGACCAATCGCAGGTCGAGGAAAAGTGTTCGCGCGCGTTGCATGCATGCCGGTCGCGGGCCGACTGCTGGTTGTGATCAACGTTGTGATCGTCGTCGTAGGCGGCGTTCATCTCATCTTTCCGCGTAAAAGCGCTATCCTTAACTGAATTTTCGTTGTGTGTCGCTATGATAACCCAGCACGTACTAGAAGGGAAGATCCACCTACTCGAGCGGCGATGTCGTGGCGGCGCTCTCAAGACGGCAGAAACGCCCGTGTCGTCGTGTTTGTTTACTACGACTACAGTGGTGATTTCTAAGCATTTGTGTCCTCGAACATCGCCCGGATTTCTTGTTTGGCGCATTTCATGCGTGTGCTCAAGTTCAAGGTATTACTGGCGCGTACCGTATGAAGGATGCGAATTTTCACGCGTTTTCATCTCCGGAGAAAAGTGATTAGGGTTAGCAATGCTGAACGCTCGCAACGTCCGTCCGCAACCCGCGACGCCGCTAAAAGGCTGCGCAGGCAAAAGCCGCTCATTTTTTTCAAAATGTGTGACACACTTGAGAGAGAAGTGTACTAGTGTGGTGAAATAAAGACGTTCCTCAAACTAAGCTTTATTTTTCATCTAACATAAAATAAATTCTTTTACAAAGGTAAGTTGTCTTACGGCATGTATTTTGGCCTGAAAAATTTATGTTTCGGTTATAACGCGGTACCGCTTATAGTGCGGATTTTCACGACTCCCGCGACATACGTTATATGCGGTCTACACTGTAGAGAGTTTTAGTATTGCATATACTAGAAGCAAGCGCTGTGCGTTTACGTAACAGGTGCATGCTCCACGCTGCACATGCGCATGGTCGCCATGTGCCATTCTGCGACCGCAATTTTGGGCTCTGCACAGATGCAGTGTGGAACATGCAATGCCATCGCATACACAAAGTGCTTGCATTCGCTCCTATATGCAATATTAAAACTCACTACTGTTTGACATGTTCTCTAAAGCCAACGAAACTCGCTGCAGTGAGCAGGCGTGTAGACATTCCCGCAAACTTAAAAGGCTGAAATTGGCAAAAGGACGGCACGTAAACGTTGAAGAAAATGAATGTTCTTGAAAAATTTTAATTAAAAAAAAAAGAAAACTGACGGAATCCATGTCTTGTATTTCGGGACATTTGGTGCAGAAGGATTGGCAGCGAATTAGGAAATATTGTGTTCAAACGTTGCGACTTTGATAGCACCATACAGGGCCGTACCCAGAAAAAAAATTTCGGGGGGGGTTTTCGGGGACAACGGCGGCCATTTTGAAAGTGTCTATTGTCTTATTTTCGCCTATGAATCATGTGCATCGGTGGCATATAATGGAGAGTTACAGCAAACCGGAGAACCGGTCCCGGTTTGGTACCCGGTAGCCGACCGGCGCCACTGCGCGTGCGCAGAGGTGGAGATTAAAATCGGCTGGCTGCCAGTGCACCGACCAGGGCCGTACCCAGAAAAAAATTTCGGGGGGGGTCAGAACCCCCTATCCCCCCCCCTGGTTACGACCCTGGCACCATATATATACTTTACCCACAACCAAAGTCATTTTACATGGATTTCTCAGACTAGCTAGAATGCTTTCATAAATTTTAGGCTATTTTTATTTTATAACTTGTTAATGAAAAATGCTGCCATTGGCACCAGTAATCATAATATGCCATCTTTGGTTTGCCATAGATGTTCACGCATTGTAAATTAGGTCATAAGGAACAAATTATATTAGAGCTTGAAAAACTACCGCAAAATACTGAGCAAGTGCCCTCAAAATTTGAAGATAATCGCGAAAAAATAGGAGATGGACATGTGTGAAGTCATCAATCTTACATAAATATGTACTGTGCATATTTTTTCAGATGTTTCAATTGTTTTGGGAGGGCGCTTAGTGTGGAATGGGGGGCAGATGCATGGGTATTCTACGGTAGGTACTAAAATATTTTAGTCTTACATTAATATGACGAATCGTGGTAATGTAGGTTCCCAAGGAATGCCACAATCACAAAAATATGCCATTTAACCATAATAGTCTTTACGTAAAGGTTTCATTTTGTTTTGTTCTTAGCATAGGAAAACCTTTACGTTTTCATCAAGATAGACATAAACACTGGATGTAATATAAAGTCCTGTGCACATTGCCTTAAAAACACAGACTTTGTTGTCTGACTTGGATTTTGTTTTGGGGTTTTTGTAGTGAGAACAGCATTTCTTTATTTATATGCTTTGTGAAAATATGCTAAACTCATCTTCCGTGGCAATATTTTGTAAATTTTAGATTTATTCTGTTATTCTTGTGTTGGGAATAATGTTAAATTAAATAATCATCTAAATATGCAAAAAAATTCATTAAAAGGCCCACAGAGTAATCATTTCGCGCTTAATTATTATATTTACTTGCATAAGGAAGACACTTTTTTTTCTGAAAAATTGACACATATTTGGGGGGTGCCTTCATTTAGCGGGGTAAAATTCTTGCATTTACACACTTTGTGCAGATGTCATATTAGGTGCCAATATGACACGGCAAGGTACTGTGGCACGTCTCCTCTGATGGAGACGCACCCATGGCTGGTCGGGGGCATGGCACAGTAACCATGCTTTATAAATTGTGAACCTTTTTAGGGCGCTTTTGGCGTGCCTTCTGTCAAAGCTCACTCAGCACGGAGAGCAATGCAGCCATTCTCAGGGCCAACCACTTTCACGATTTCACTGTCCAAAAGTGGACCACACACGACGGCGTGTTTGTTCACATCAATGCATCCGATACGCGAAGAATCTCGAAGCTGGGTGATTCCTCGACCCAAGCTTCATGAGGTGTGCGTGCCACTTGGTTTCACGGTTGATCCCTTCTGCAACTACGCACTTGCAGCCATTACGAAAGCGGCTTGCGGGGTGTGTACCGACCGGAAAAACCAGGAATTGTCAGGGAATTTTAAGGCACCTGGAGAAGTCAGGGAATTGGCAGGGAAATTTTCAAAAAGATTGCTGAGTCAGGGAATTTATTCCATGCTTGCCCGCTTACGCTAGAACAGGCAGGCACGGGCAGGCATAGCCACGAGCGCAGTCAAGTGCGGCGTCGCGACCCCCTAGGCACGATGCGACCCGCCCAATTTTCCACGCGCTGCGCTTCACACGAGAGCATGTGCGAAGCTGGCGGCTCGTCATTCTTTTAGTACACTCTAAAGCCACTAAATAAGCTACACTTTAGAGTAGCAACGCTAAAGTGTGGCGGCTAAAGAGTTACTCACAGTTACTAGTGAAGCAGAGTAGCAGCGGCCATTTTGTTTAATTCGTGACTCTAGTCAGGTGGTGTTGCTCTAGTACGAGGAGAAACAGTTACTCTAGCGGATACTAGGTGACGCGAGTCACCACTCGCTCGAAAGAGGACAGTCGTCGTCCATTCATCTACCCTCTGAGAGACGCGTGCCTAGCGATCCATTCGTTTGTCAGATATGGTGTTTTCGCGCTTCCCCATAAACGCAACCTGGACGCCTGCACTCTACGAGCTCTGCCACGTTTGTTTGTGGCTTTGAGTTGGGCTTTCTATTGTGTTATTTTCCGGAAGTGGAGATATGTTAAAGTGACTTATGTCGCTGTCGAGAATGTGCTCCTTCAACCTCAACGGGACAAACCCGGACATATCCACGAATGCAAGTTGGATTCGGCCCATTCCAAATGATCCAAATAGTGCTCACTGCACAATGTGCTGCAAGAAGTTCTCCCTGAGCAACATAGGGAATAGGGCGACTACTACTCATGTTAAGGGTAAGAAACATCAAGCTGCTATGAAATATCTGCAAAGCGTTTCCCAGAGCCCAATCGTATTTTTCAAAACTGCGACAAATGTGGACTTGCCTTCCAGCAACGGGTATTTTTTGTCCGGAGGTAGCAATGGTGCTTGTAGGGCTCCGGCAATGCGTCTAACCACCGCCACGGAAGCTCTTAGCCCCTCTGTGAAGACGTGGGTGGTGGCTTTTTATTGAAAAAGGAAGTCACAAAGGCCGGGAATTTTGTGGTGCTTGAACACTATAACTATTCATGGGTCTTTTCGTTCAGCGGCAT